ACAGTGAGTGCGGGGCAGACCAGGGGGTGTCACATACGAGTGACTGCACCCTTACGTAGCTTTTGGGCACTGGGTTTGCGTGACTTACAGTATAGACCCCCCGGTATGGGAGCCCACCCTTTGCTCTCATGTTATTCAATGATTGAGTGATGTTTTCAATGCAACTCTCGACTGAAATCTATTTATTATGATTTAAAAGCAATTATTTATTTATTTATTAATTTTGGGATAATATTACGAAATGAATTCAAAGCAAATCATCGCATATCACGTGCCACTCGAGTATGAGATACAGTGGTAATCGACTCGTGAGTTACTGTCACTCCATGTCATTAGAAGCCATTAATTGTCGATCACATCAACGCTTGCATTGAAGCCGAGGAGCGGATCTCTGGACACAAGAATTTTACCACAAATTTATAGCCAATTAATAGTCCGATGGATACCACCGACGGATCCAATGGTGTGAATGGTGTCAATGGGCTCACTATGGACTCCATGCCCTCCCGATCCCTATCAGACCACACTCTCGTGAGCGCAGGTGAGCACAGGGAGGCCGTGGATGTGGTGAACGGCATGGGAGTGCATGTGCTCAATGGACACCGACTGCCATCGTATGTGTCGATCAGTTGTGCCATTTCTGGTTACTCTGATTACAACCATTACTGCACCCGAAGACACATTAGTGTCACTCAACAACCGGTGAATCGTCTGAATGACTCATTTCATCGCAAAAATAGTCTAATCAGTGAAGCGTTGATAACGAGTAGACATAATGTCAATGAAGACATCGATGACGTTGAGAGCAACGGAACCGAGAGATCCGTCAATTTGGCAAATAGTGACACAAACAGTGAACCAAACGATAAGAACTCATTCTTAGAGCAACGGATCGCCAGTTTGTACGGACAGACGTTCGCCAAAGACTGGAGAGAATCGCGAACTAAAACCAGACAAAAGTTCAACTCATCTTTCATTATCACTAAACAGAGAAGTCCTTCGTGTCCTCCCATTCATAAGACCACAGCCAACAGCACCACTTGCAAACTCCCGACACCCGTCACCACCAAAAGCCCACCACAAAGACATGCGAATCAAGAGAACAATAAAAGTGATCATCCAATCGATACTCATTCAAGTAATTGATTATAAAAACTCATTTTGAATGTAAATTTATTTTTCATTACTTTTTGCAAACTTATAAATCACTAGAATTCCCAAAACGGTTACCTAATTGTGAGACCAAACCACAAGAATTGGTCAAACAATTGGAACCACAAAACAATGGCTCAAATGATGATAATTCCCAATCGATTGATAATAAGAGTGAAACCGAGACACAAGTCGTATCTTCGGATAGCCTTTCCTGTAATGACTCGCAAAGCCCTCAAACGAGACCGACGTCTGAAAGGGACGGCAATTGGTTTTTGAGTGAANTCAAATGATGATAATTCCCGATCGATTGATAATAAGAGTGAAACCGAGACACAAGTCGTATCTTCGGATAGCCTTTCCTGTAATGACTCGCAAAGCCCTCAAACGAGACCGACGTCTGAAAGGGACGGCAATTGGTTTTTGAGTGAACTGAACAAAACTACTCAAGAAATACAGCATAATATAGATCTGATCGAAGCTATGCTCATAAGACAGGACAGTCTGATGAGTGAAGACATGTCGGGCAAACTGAGGGCAGCCGTAGGAAAGGCTAACCTACTTATCAATAAGAAGTTTAAACAATTCCACGAATTATGTCTCAAAAATATTGTATGTCTTTCACACTGACCGCTATTATCACTGCATTTGCATTCATTGATTGTGATTCTCATGATTTAGAGTCAAAGCTCATCCGAACAATTCGTGACCACAAACGATGATTTGCAAGGATTTTGGGATATGATGTCCATCCAAGTCATCGACATTAACCATACGTTCGCCCAAATCCATTCACTAGAGGCTACCGGTTGGAAGGGTAGCGATAAAGACAAAGACATATATAACACATCAGACATACCAAAAAAGACGGTATTATTAGCCTATCAATCACTTGCCGTTGTGTCCAATGATTACACGAATATCTATTTGTATGCAGACGTCGACCCCAACAAAGTCCAGATCCCGAAAGTCTACTCCGAAAGGATCGCCCGTCAAAGCCTGTGATGAGTCCAATACAGACCGAGAGTCCGAACGACGCAATCGTCTCAAAGAAGCGAAACGAAAGGCACGGCTGAAGGCCTCGCAAACCGACGATGAGATCACAATATTTATTCCCTCGAAAGCACTCAACAATTGATTCATTTTATGTTATATTTTTCACTCAAAACTTACTTATAATATAAGTATTAAATTATTTATTTATTATTTGGATATTAGGTATATTTGCGGACAAACACTGAGACAATGAATTAGACTATTGTTTCGAAAAAATCAATAAAATTAGACAAATTTGTGTTTAATTTTTTTTATTTAATTCAAAATTCAATTGAAGACAGAAATACAGAGTGAATGCCTTTTACTGAATGGACGACGCGTTGGATGCGATTCTTGGCCACAGATCGGCGCACTCTTTAGCGACGGGTCCCGTGATGGCCGACCCCTTCATTTCGCCCTTATTGTTGACAATCACTCCGGCGTTGTCCTCGAAGTAGATGAAGACGCCGTCCTTCCTCCTGAAGGGCTTCCTCTGTCTGATCACCACAGCGGGCATAACCTTCTTCCGCAGCTCGGGCTTTCCCTTCTTGACTGTGGCCACAAACATGTCTCCACACCCGGCGGCCGGCAATCGGTTCAGTCGTCCCTTAATGCCATTCACGGCGATTACGTACAGGTTTTTACCGCCAGTATTGTCGGCACAGTTCATGACAGCCCCGACGGGCAGCGCAAGAGATATGCGAAACTTGGCGCCAGCGGTTCCTCCACGTCCTGCACACACACAACAACTATTAGTCTAACCATTCATATTACCTATACATCCCTCCATTAGACACTCATTCAACCACGAAATGTGTCACTCAATCATTGAGTCCAAGTTGAATGGATCTAATGGATCAGATGGTGAGAGCAATGTATACCTCTTTTAGACATCTTTACTGACAAACGAGAAAAGGAAATGAATTGAAGTCAATGTGGCTTTCAATGAGACTTACATGAGGTGTGTAGTCATTGTCACCATAGATGGCACTCAACACTCAATCCATTCAATCAAATTGGCTTTGCTTTCATCCACACTATTAACCATTGATTGCAATTAATCGGATACTTTTCATCATAAACACCATTTAATGTATTATTCATTCATTTACTTTATTTAAAGTTTATTATTTCACTAAATTTCAAATTAATAACATAGCAATTGAAAGATAAAGTTTTTGACAAACTATTTGAATTATTTAGTAAAGAAATACCTAGCAAATGGTTTGTTATAATTTTGGATGCATTTATTGGCGCATAATTAGCGTAATGTTAGTCATATGATTAAGGTAGCGGTCGTTAAATATGATTAAATAGTAGATTAATATGTATTTAATTGACTTAATTGTGGGTCGAGAGTAGTGGTGGTAATGAGTGATTGGTCCCTACATTGGAATTGCAGGCATTCATACAATAGCTCATAATAGTGAATGCATTGGATGTGTGTTCGGGTGTAGGCTTTGAGTGCTTTCATAGCAGTGAGTGCTTTGACTCAACACTTGATTGCTGTGAATGTCAACTAATCCACGGTTTCATTGCCTGCACACAGTCTGTTGAGTGCTGTCACTGTCACCCAAACACATCCAATACATCCACACATCTGTCACACACTGGTCTCCATTTGCCTCCAATGACAAGCCGTTGACACGGAAGTGGACACAAGAATGAGCGCAAAGAAGTGCAGCCGATGTGACAAAACTGTTTATCCCATCGAAGAACTCAAGTGTTTGGATAAGGTTTGTGCGGATGTGTTGACCACTGACTGGTGATAATGGTTTGGTTTGATGACAGGTGTGGCACAAGCTATGCTTCAAATGCCAGGAGTGCGGCATGACTTTGAATATGAAGAACTACAAGGGATTCAACAAACTTCCCTATTGTAATGCGTTAGTATCTCTTTCTACCACTTCCTCCGAGTCTCTTATCATAGCAATTGTCTCATGTCTTAGTATGAGTCTCACGGTCGCGAGTAAACGATAGTATATGTAGTCTTAAAACTTTTAAAGTTATTGAAACAAAGTTTCATATAAACGATGGGCTCAATGGTGTGTCCAGTCTTTGCTAAGAACTAGTGATAAATTGCTTGAGAAAGTGATGGCAATGATTGCGATCACTTGACCACATCGTAAGCATGTGTTGAATGCAGTAAACAATGACTGAAAACGTGATGACTTTTGCAGACACTGTCCTCAGGCTCGGGCGACAGCAGTGGCCGACACACCAGAGGCGCGCCGATTGGCGGAGAACACGAAACTTCAGAGTCAAGTGAGATATCACGAGGACTTCGAGCGCCAGAAGGGAAAGTTGACTCAAGTGGCGGACGATCCCGAGACCCTGCGCATCCGGAACATCTCCCATGCGATCAGTAACGTTGCATATCATGGAGAGTATGAGAAGAAGAAACAGATGGAACAGAAGAGGACTCTGGGAACCGGTCCTCCGCCACAGCACACCAACAACGGACTCACAGCACACACACCACACATGCCTTTCACTGCACCCACAGCTCACATAATCGGTAAACTGAGTAGTGTTTTGGCGATTTAGTGTTGACTATAATGAATGTTATGATAAATGTGTAAATTGTTTGCATTTTGTTTGCATTGCTAACCGAAACGTGTGTTTCATGTGTTGATGACTTCAGACGAAAACAAGAACTCCCGACAAAACACACCAAATATTCAACACAACAACGACTCAATCAATCATAACATTAGAAACAGTGGTGACGCTAATCAATATCATCACAATATAGGCGCTCAGACGCTACAGTTCCAGCCAAATACCAACAAAGAACACAACGCCTACTCATCCAAACTCCAATCCACAGTCATCTACACCTCCGATGACGGACCAGGTCTTGAGCGCCATTTCTAATTGCATTCGCTTTTTTGCACGTCTTGTCTAACGTCTCATTTGAATGTCTTTCATATTTATAACACATTTTATAATGTCTTTTACTATCCGTGTAGTGAACGAGAACTCCAAGAAAGTTGGATCCATTGCAGACTACGACCCCATTAATGATAACTACGGCTCCATTGCTAGTGGTTATCGACTCGATCCTACCGGTGCTTACTATTCAGGTCTGATATTCTCACTCTATAACCAATTTAT